TCCTCCCCCGGCCAGGCACAGCCCCAGCGCCGCCGCCGCGCTCCAGCCCCACGGGGCCCCGAGCAGCCGCAGCAGCCCCAGAGAGCCCAGAGAGACCGCGCTGAGCCCGGCAGGGCGCATGGCCGGGAACCACCGGGAACCACCGGGGATGAGAGCCGGGAACCACCGGGAACGACCGGGGATGAGAGCCGGGAACGACCGGGAATGAGAGCCGGGAACCACCGGGAACGACCGGGAATGAGAGCCGGGAACCACCGGGAATGACCGGGAATGAGAGCCGGGAACGACCGGGAATGAGAACCGGGAACGACCGGGGATGAGAGCCGGGAACGACCGGGAATGAGAGCCGGGAACGACCGGGAACGAGAGCCGGGAATGACCGGGATAACCGGGAATAATCGGGGATAGCCGGGAACAACAGAAAATGGGATGGGGGAACGGCCGCGAACAACCGGGAACAGCCGAGATAACCGTGAATAACCGGGAATAATCGGGGATAACCGAGAATAACCGGGGATAATCGGGGATAGCTGGAAACGGGATGGGGGAACGACCGGGATCAACCGGGGATAACCGGGGGGAGCTGGAATAACGGGGACAGGAGGAATAACGGGGACAGGCGGGACCGGGATGGGGGAAGCGGCGAACGGGAACCGGGACGGGGATGAGGAACCGGTTCAGGGCTCAGTAAGGGAACCGCGATGGGGGAAGGGCCGGGAATAACCGGGGACAACCGGGAACGGAGAACGGGAACCGGCACCGGCGGGGCTCGGACAGGCAGCGGGGATGAGGCTCCGGGGCTGGTTCGGGGCTCGGTTCACAGCCGGGATGAAGCTTCGATAGCCGGGACGAGGCTCCGGGACTCGGTTCGGGGCGCCGGGGCCGGTTCGGGGGCCCTTGCAGGATCCGGGACGGAGCTCCGGGGTTCTGGGGGCCGGTTCAGGCCTCAGCGAGGGATCCGGGCCGCGGCTCCAGGGCCGGTTCAGGCCTCACCGCAGCCTGCGGGGTTCGGTTCGATGCTGTGGGAGCCGGGCCGGGCCCCACGCGGGCTCCGGGGCTCCCGAGGCCTCCCCGGGGCCCTCCCGGAGCTGCCGCCGCTCCCGCCCCGCCACGGCCCCATCAGGCGAGGCCACGCCCACGAGAGGCGGGGCTTGGATGAACGGCGCGTTTCTATTGGCTGGCAGCGCGGCTGGCGGCAGCTGATTGGGTGAGGCGAGGGGCACGAAAAGGGGATTGGTCAGGGTGGGAAATGAAGGGCGGGGTTATGCAAATATGGTGTGGGGCAACGGAGCCACGCCCATGCGCTGTTGGCGCCCCCTGGCGGGAGCGCGGGAACCCTCCAGGACT